AGTTATGCCCTCTTTTCTGTGGGACGTGGATTATTTCGCCAGCTGATAGCTCAGGTTCCCTAAACAGCAACAGTTGAAGGCGCTTAGCTACAGAAGTGTAAACAGCAATGTGAATAATGAGTGAAAACACCCAGGACGGTGGAGTTACCGCTTCACATCCCCTAAGCGGGTAGGCTGTGTCACGAAAAATGCCCCTTACGACATAGCGCGGGAAATGTAAACGTCCCCTACCCCTCTGTCACCCACCCTCGCACACCGACGCCAATGTGAAACTGTGCAGGGCTCCCAACCATGTGAAGTAATAATGCTGGCCTCCCGTGCCAAGTTTCCAGCTGTTTCCACATGTGCATCTCGTACTTACCTCCTCCCGTGTGCCTGTGCCAGGACCGAGATTCAATAAAATGCCACACTAATCCGCAGTCCTTTTTCATTAAATGACCAATTAAAGCTAGAGGAAAAGAGGAGTTATTATTATTATTTCAGTTGGGAACATGTTCCCTATAGCGCCGGGTGGTTTTTATATGTATTTTTTGCTATTATTATATTCTCTTCTACTTTGTTATCTCTGCAGAGTTCCGTCGCTACTGCGTCTGGTTTGCCCCCAGCTCCTTGCTGTTGCCTGACTTAGCAGTGATTTGGTTTTAAATTCTGTAGAGTTATTAAATACTTCTGTATACGAGTTAACGTATTCAAGGTGAGAATGCCGTGTTTATACACTGGTAAAGCACGTAAGTGGAGAGGTCAGAGAATACAAACAGCTGAAGAGAAGTCTCAGGGCAGCGCTGCTCCCGGGAGGTGGTGGTACCCCGGGGCACGCAGTGATGCTCGGCTCCTCGCGCTGGGCCACGTGCGGGTGGGGAGAAGGAGCAAAGCCCCGTCCCAAAGCAGCGTACGCAGCGAGACTGGCACGGAAAGCCAGGGGGAAGCAGCTACCCGAGCACCACACGGGGCTGAAGCCCATCAGGAAATAAAAGCTCATGGGGTCTTAACACCTCATCCCAGGTCCTCTTTGTTAGTCCACTGTGTTACACCTAAAACCTGATTTTCAGAGATGTTGAGTGCTGGTACCAGCTGTAAGGACAGTTAAAGATGATCTGGCTTGCTGGAGCGCTGTGCCTGCTGCATTTCCGTGGGTCTGTCCTTGAACACAGAAAGGCTTCGGCTTTGTGGTGAAGGTAGCGTTGCTCTGGGAACCTTAACCTCTACCCGAGCTGCCTTTCTCAGGCATTTTAGTTGGATTGATGATGGGTTTTTTGTGCATTTAAGTTCCTGAGTTGCTTTCTATGCTAAAACAGAAAGAAAACTCTCAAAAGATAAAGGAGAGGGTCATGTCCGCATCCATGGTGGGCTGCATCTCCCCAGGGGTGCTCTGTTCAGGCTCAGGCAGTGAGTTGTGCAGCTCATGGCACGTTTCAGCATGCTCCGACCAGCAACTTGTAGCAGCAGGCTGTGCGGGTCACTGGTTCCCCAGTAATCCCAACACGGGTACGGCACGGGCGCTGCGTGGCACGAGGGGAGCTGCAGCCCCAGCTTTTGGAGGACAGGAGGCAGGTGTGGGACTCTCGGTCCGTGCCCATGTCTTGATGGAGGTGCAGGGAGGCAGGGCAGCCTGGGGACCCACGTCGCTGGTGCAGGGTCAGTCCCCAGCTGCCTGTCTTTGTGCTCGGTGAAGATCCAAAACCTAAAGGTGAACCCAATACATGCGTGCATGCATGCCCACCTTAAAGCAATGTGTGCATCTGTCCTGGCTCTTTTATTAATCCACTGGATGGTTCAAGCTCTGACTTTCCTGTTTTGCACACTCAGAGCTGGCAAAAGCAGAGCACAACGCCAGGCAAATCCCTCCTATCCTGACCATCGCAGCTCTGCAAACAGCGTTTGGGTCTGGGTCTCACTGGATCCACAGACAGAGGAACTGTCACCTTCCCACCCTGTGGTGTGATGCTTCCCTGGATGCAGCCCAGATCTCCTGGACTCTTTTTTTCTCCTCCCTTTGCCACCATATCACTTTACAGAGTAATGAGTTAAACAGCGCGGTCATTAGTGCAGTTCAGCTCCTGCGTGCTCCGAGCATCGGCGGCGCGCGATATCTAAGCCTTCGTGCTGGGGGGAGTGTGGGGGGCTGCACCGGGTGGGAATTTCTCACCCCACCACAGACTTTGCTGGGGCCAGACATGTTGTAAATTTTACAGGAAAAACACTTTACAAACCAGAAGTCCAATTCTTGTGCGCATGGGGCTGCTAATTAACAACTTGGAGACCATGTAAGCCAGGGAACCGATTCCACCATGACAGAGCCTCATGGTTTTGAATCAGGCTTTGAAGATTTGGGATCGTCCATAAAGCTCTAGCTCCGGGAGTCTGGTGATTTCTGTTTCTGTTCTTCTCCAGCTTCTCCCCAACTCGCACGCAGGAACCCTCACACCTCCCAGACCCTCCTAGAAATAGCACTTAAAATCATACAGAGCACTTTAAAAAGGGGTCTCCAGGGAGGCACAGGATGCTGAAGGTCTGACTTGCAATATTTGATTGTCTGCAATTGCTGTTGCACCTCTCAGGAGGTCCCTGCTCACAGCCAAGGATGCCCCGGCGTTCAGGTCCCAGCACGGCACCCACCCACCCAAAGCCCGGCCTGAGCCGAGCATCTCTGGCCTGAGCTGAGCATCTCTGGCATCGCCAAGCCATCGAGGGGCACGGAGTCGCCCGGTGCAGCTGGGAGTCTCAGTGTGAGTTGTCCTGCGAAACGCGACGTGGTCGGACCCTTGGCAGGGATGCTGCCGGCTTTCCCTGCAGCCCTGCCAGCCTTGGCAGGGTTATTGCGAGACTTGCAAGGTTTGTGTTCAACGTCTCATGTGATGCCAAGCTCCCGGCTCCAGGGCTCACCGCGTCTCCCCTCCCAGACCGCTGCGTCAGGGCCACGGTGGCCTCAGTCCCACGGGGGCTGAGGTTGCCCTGTCCCACCTTGAGAGCCACCACCACCTCCTCTGTGCCGGGAAGGGGACCAGGAGATGGGAGACAGGGGATGGCACAGGGTGTTGGTGGAGAGAGGGGTGCGCCGGAGGTTAAATGCAGCTTTGGGCTGGGCAAAGCATGGCACGGGGCTGGCAGTGGGAAACATCCCTGGCTCCACCACCCATCTGTGTTGGTGGTGCGGCCGGGACAGCAGATGGAACGAGCCGCGGCGGTGAGGCAGGACGGAAACAGGCAGATGGGGAGAGTGATCTTTTTTAAAAAGTTGTTGGCTTAAATAACTGTGGTTTTCCTCTAAATTGTGATGAGCACGGGTCAGAAACCCTGTGAGGTAGAGCTGCCGCTTGAAGGGCCTTTCCACCAGTGTTTGGTGTTTTCCATCTCGTTTCTCTCCTCCGTTTCCCTTAGCAACGGAAATAACAAACTTTACCATTAGAAAAGATTTGCAGAGTAACTTTGCCTTGATGTTCTGCATTAGTCACAGTCCTGCAGGTACAGCTGCTGGGTTTCGCTTTCCCACAGTGTCCCCTACTGCTTGCATTAAAAAATCCATTTAGGTACACATTAAAAAAGGAGGGAAAAAAAAATCTTAATGGAAGTATAAGGCACAGAAAGTCACCAGAAGGGGAAATTCTTTTTATGGAGCCTCAGCAAGAATCCCTGGGAAGAGCATGAGATGCATGGATTCCTGGAGGGAGGTAAATGCAGAGTCAAGTTCTGCGACTGTAGCTTGGACTGCGGCTCCCGAGAGCTGATCTGCTCACTTCCAGTGGCTGCCTGATTAAGGGTACGGCACAGGCACGGGATGTAAAGAGGACAGATCAGATGAAAGGAAATGAAGAGGAGAGAGGAATCGGGACTAGAGGAGCCACTTTCTTCTGTTTTCTCTTGGATAACACAACAGGGGAAAGCCACCTATTTTAAAGTGATGGGTGGATGGTCATTTCAAAACGTGCCATTGCTGTTCCTCTGTGGAGCTTGCTGCTAAAAGAAATTATTTAAATCAAGTATTTGGGGTGCAGAAGTGGCAAGGACACTCCAGCTGTGTCAGAGATGTGTGAAGTCAAAACAAGATTTGTGATCCAAGGTGTAGGAGGAGCCACAGCTGATGGGTGCTGGGGAGAACCGGGGGCGGTGGGCACCCCTTGCCCCAGGGAAGGGCTGTGTGTGTGCTACACGTCTCCTGGACCAGCGAGGCACTATGCTTTCCTGGTAGCAGCAGTTGTAGTCTTCTCCCTGGCATTGGGACAAAGCAGTGCCACGGGCTCGGCGGGGATGCAGGGCTGGCAGAAATGCCCCCTCAGACATCACGCCTTGAGCAGAGGTCACTGTCCGGGCTGGGTGAAGGTGGAGATGCACCTCTGACTGTCATCTAGTCCCTAATCATCAGCTGAGCTGTGGCCGCTGGCTGTGGGCATGCTCTTTGCCCCCCTCAGCTGTGATGTGAATTCCTTTGGGGATGCTTGAGATGGAGGATGCTACTTTGCAGTTGGGGCAGGCTAGGAGCGTGCACATAGCCGTCCCAGCTCAGCTAACGAACAACTCATTAAACCTTTGCAACTTGCACACCCTCAGTTGTGTCCGTACCCTCGGGAATGGTTTCCAGATGAGACAAGCTCAGCAAAGCGCTCTCTGCTCCCTGCAGATGCCGGAGGGTCTCAGTCTGGAACTCAAGGTGTTGGATCCCATGGGATCTGTTCCCTGCAACACCAGGAAATTATAGAATCATAGAATCATAGAATCATTGAGGTTGGAAAAGACCTCTAAGATCATCTAGTCCAGCCATCGACCCAACACCACCATGCCCACTAAACCATGGCCCTAAGCGCCTCATCTACTCGTCTTCTAAATACCTCCAGGGATGGGGACTCAACCACTTCCCTGGGCAGCCTGGGCAGCAAATTCATCGTTTGCTACCTGAATCGGTTGTAATCTCTCCCCAGAGACCTCACAGAAGTCTTTAATGTTAATAACACTACCTTACAAGCGCAGCAGTGCCTAACATTTGCATTTCTTATTCCTTCCCCAAGACCTACGAGCAGAATGAATGGGTAATCCACTTGGCTGGGAAGCTGCTGGCCCAGGAAGAAGAGACCTTGTCCTTGATGGCAACGAACCCATTTGCAGGCAGAGCACCCCCACGGTAAGCTTTGAGTTTTGCCGAGGGAGCTGGAAGTACCCAGGCTCCGTGTTGGTCCTGTCTTGGATGTGCACACGCGGTTTCTGTTGATGGATTGGGTTTTGTATTTGATGGTACCCAGGTGGTCTTTAAATAGGGTGGGTTTAATATGAGGACACCATGAAGAGCTGGTGCTCTCAGCACCTTAATGCCTTCCTAGCGGGGACACAAGGACCCTTTGGCTGAGCCCGTTCCCAGGCATGTCTGTGAAGGGCTCGGCGTTGCTTCTCTTGGACAGAAATTGTGACTGCTGAAGCGGTTTCCTGCCCGTCAGCTTTAGATTTTTTGCTACGATTGCTTTGCAAGCTTAGCTCAAAACTGCCATTTCTACCGGCCTACCGAGGTATTTCAAAGACAAAACAGCCCCGCAAAAATGATCGGTTTTGTGGACACTTGTCTTGGAAGTGTTTGTGTTTTCAATGAAGAGACAAAGCAAACATCAGCAAGTGAAAGGCACAGATGAAAACCCCAAGGTTTTCTACAAAAGGAAATTTTTCACAAAAGTGTCTGTTTTGTTGACGAAGTTATTTTTAGCTGAGAAAACATTTTAAGGGAATTTTGGATCAACTCAAGTAATATTATGCTCTTGCTAATATTTTCCATTTGAGGCTCTCAAGATGCACTGCAAACAAGGATGAAGGTTCACGGCACCGTGTGAAGTGAACTTCCTCTTGAACCCTGCTGATGTTTTTCAGCTTTAGCGCAGTGCATCCCCCAAACCTTCCGAGGAGAGAATCCTTTTCCAGCTAAGACATTAACACCTTTTACCAAAGCGCTTCCTCTGAGATGGTTTACACATCCCAAGATGGTAGAAATGTATAAACCCAAAATGGTTTATGTCCGAGCTGAACGTATGTCTGTGTGTAGTCTGCAAAAAACCAGAGCAGAAGCACAGCTTGGAATACAACCGCTAAGTGAGTTTCCCACCATCAGGTTTGAGTATTTCTAATAACTGTTTCTGGGGTTCCCCAGGCATCCAGCCCTGTCATAGTGCGCAGGCACCTTATCAGAGCATCGGTACAGGCTGATGGGAACATAATCCCTCCAGGTACAGGAGCCGAGACCACTCTAAGAACAGTTATTTTGGGGCTTTTGCACATATTCTCATTTGAGAACCGGTTTTCCCGTCGGTGCAGCACCGCAGAGCGAACCAGCAGGCGCTCTCGGTGCACAGGGCAGGAGCCTGCCCATAGCCCAGAGGCTCACAGCCGCACCGGAGTTCCCATAAACGATGGTTTATAGTTCAGGGCGCGTTATGGTGTTGCAGTTTGTTGGGTTACACAAGCAGTGGATCTGTTACACACAAATAATGATGCCTTGGCTCCGGTCCAGGAGGGCTCTGGGGAACCTCTATTAATTATTGCTACAAAAGGCGTGCTGGGCTAGACCAGCACGGCCCTTGCCACGGACAGATACAGCTTTAATAATGTGTGTGGAGGGGTTTTAGCTCTGATTAGCTGTGCTGGGGTTGGCTTTCCGTGCAAGGAGCAGCACGCTGATGCTGTGCGATCAGCTGGTCTGGCTCGGTGCCGTCAAGAGGAGCACGCCATCGTGCATGAAACCTCCTTGCTATGGGTTGTGTTCCCATTTTGGCCGTGTTTTCTCTTTGTTTCTATGGACCTTCGCTTGACTGCACGTGCATTTATCGGCCACAGTAGGGTCTGTGGCTTGTGACAGCAAGCTGGACCTCCCCACTGCTCCCTGCCACCTCCTTTTCAGGGGCTGCTCAGCCCCCACGGAGGTGGCACCTTTCTGATGGCCAGGGAAGGGGCAGAGTGCAGCCCCAGCGCCTGTGCAACCGCTCACGTGGCAAAGGCGGTGGGTGCTTCGTTAGGGTGCTAACAAACACCAGAGCTTACAGTGGGCAGAAATTCAGCCCGGTGAGAGGGCTCGCGCACCGGGATCCGGCAGGAGCTGGGTCCTTCGGGAGCTCATCGCAGAGATGAGTGTTGGGGCATCATTTGCAAGGCTGAGCTGGAAGAGCGACCGGAGAACCTGCACTGCGTCGGCTCTGTCTTGGGTGGATTTATCACCCGAGTCTCACCAAACTTTTCTCGCGTCCCCAAGGCTCAGTGCCGTAAATTCACCGAGCGGCGTTCATTGCGGGGCATTCCCCTGCGTTGCTTTTTTTTATTAAAAAAAAACCCAACCTGGAAGAAAGAAAGTCAGTCCTGAGTGCTGGCTGACCCTGGGGAGTTTTAGCAGAACCTGGGACCTTTAGACACCGAGTCATCAGTTTGAATTAGGTGTCCCCTGGTGCCAGCAGCCAGAAGCAATGACCATCTGGTGGCTGCTGGCAATAAACGGCTCTCGTGGTTCATGGAGCGACAGAAGCATTTGATAATCCCAGGGCTGTTTATTACCACGTGTCCCCCAGTGCCGTAAACGTTGCTCCTGGTACTCACCACGACCGAGGCTGAAAACAAGACATTGCAACAGATTAAAAATCAAGAAAATACATATCACGTCTTGCCTTCCGAGATTTGCCATAGACGGGCTGCATCTCTTCTGTGTTTTCTGGCATCAGTGGTGTTAAAATAAATGAAAATAAAGTCGTTGAACCGAGGAACTCATTTGAAAATGAAAATAATGAAGGGAGATGCGGCTGGGATAACACCGCATTGCTCCAGGTGGTGAATAGGTTTTTTTATTGTGTTCTGTAACAGGTGAGGAAGTGAAATGTTCAGGAATTTAAAGCAAAACCAAAAGCAAATCTGTATCTTTGTTAGTATTTATAGGATAAATATATCCTATATATAGGAGATATATATATCCTATGAGCAGAGCGTACAAAGGGATACAAGCAGGTCCAATAAGTAATTACACAGCAGCGTGGATGCTGTGTTGAACACACGGTGCTGTAGATCTTGTTGAACAGGGTCTTGATTCATGTGTTACCTTGGTTTAACCGAAGTACGGACTCTGTTTTCACTCTTTAGCAGCTAGTTTATAGTAGGAGAAGATTGGGATCCAGCGCTGGTTTTATGCGTCAGCTGCCTTTGCTCTAGCATTAGTTTTGCTTTAAAAGTTTTTCATGGGTCTACTGTATTTTTGGGTGGCGTAAAATAAAAATAACAATTTACAAATGCTCATTTTGGCTCAGACCAAAATCCAACGCCCCGTTTCACTCTGGGTCCCGGGTTGTGGGTCACGTTTTGGGTTTTGGCGAACCCAATCCAAACACCTGGGACATTGGCACCGTCCGGATTTTCACCCAGGTGGGAAGGCGAGGACTGGGGGCACGGGTGGGTGCTCACGCCTGCCCGCGCTGGGGTAGCCGGGTCGGGGTCGGATCCTGCACTGGGCTCTCACGTCGGTCACTGATTCCTGTTGCTATTTACATTTCTTCGGTTATTGCTTGCTTGCTGTTAGCGCTTTGCCTGTGTAAGGAGACCGAAGTGATCATTTGCCTTTTTTTTTTTCCAGTTTTTGTGCCCCAGCCCAATCCTGCTGGCTTTACGCTCGTGGCACTTGTGGCCGGCGTGGGCACAGCGGCTCCGTCAGCTGCTTTTCACCCAGCGTTACTTCTGCTCAGGTGGGCTCGCCTGCTCGGTTTTTTGGGTTTTTTCCTTTAAATTTCAAAAACACCACTTCTTTATTTAATTTTAGACGTCTCCTTGTTGCACGTTGAAGCTCCCAGCGGGGCTGGCGAGCCCCCTGCACCCACGGCCCGGCCCTGGGCGCGTTCCCACGGGAGAACCATGACCGGAACCCGAGTGATTGATCTGCATCCTCCGATCTGGGTGCGAGAAGTGTAAGAAGAGGCAGTTAGCAGGATACCCACTTTTTTAATCTAGACCCCTTAGCAATCTTTAACCGAGTGCTGGATGCGGGCATCCTCAGCGCTGACAGCCGCTTACAGCCGGCGATCGCCTTTTTGTTATAATTTCATTTTGGTTGTGAACAAAAGCCTTAAATTTGAGCCTTAGCGGTAACACCTGGAAAGAAAAGATAATTCAGGGTGGCTGTAGCTCTGACGGTTTCTGAAGGGCATCCCTGCGCCCTCACCCATGAGCCAGCGCCCGCCTGCGGCTACCTTCCAGCTAAGGATTGTGCCCAGCGCGGCTCGGCTCCCTTCGGTAGCTGGGTGGAAAAAAGCGAATTTTTCTACCATATTCCCCCCCCCGCCCCCCAAAGGGAATTTTGAGACTTAATTATTTTCATTCCCTGCTAGACTAAATAATTAGGGGAAGGGACTGTTTTCCTTAAGAACATTACGCTCCATACTCCATGGAGTTTATTCTGTTAATGGAAACTCTACACCTTAAATAGCCAAGGGACTTTCAAAATGAGTTAATGCCTTCGAAATGAAATTTCTGAGACCAAAGTTTGTAGGTTTCTTTACAACTCTAGAAATTATAGTATTTTTTCAAGTGTGATAAACTTAAAATGAGAAACAGGTGACTGATTAAAAATGAGGGTATTGTTGAGCGCCCAGCCTAGCTGAGTGTGAAGCTTTACTTCAAGCACAGTGATGTTTGTGGAATGTGGATTTACAAAATATTATTGTGCAGCGGATAGTTCATAAAACACCAGCCATCATAAATCTGAACGGTAGGGTTTTGGCTGAGAAATTAATAAATGTATAACACACCGTCATGGAAACAGACTCCAACAATGAAAGAAAACAAAAATCAGATTTTGCCTACAGAAGGAGGAAAAAAAATGGGGTTTATTTTTGACTGAAGTGTTCGGTGTCTCTGATATTAAATCATGTTCACTTAAGGACTTTTATTCCAATTATAGTAGCACTTTGTTGAAAAAGCCCCAACATGTAGCTGAAGACCTGGATTTGTAGCGGCGGTGTTATTTATGGAGGCAGCGCTTCCCATTTGACGCTACCTGGCTGCAGGAACGCGAGAAGAATATAGTGCTTGGTATTCTTTTTTAATTTGATTGCCCATTTATTTCCCATTTGTGTCACAGCTACTGGGCTTTATACCTGGGGGCGTGCTGGTCTGGAT